TGATCAGTGAGTGACGTAGTTGGGTCTGATTCTGATAATCAGGAACAGGGAAGTGTCGAGTTTTAGTCTTCTGTTGAAGATAGAAGTGGTCAGGTTTTGAGGTCGGTGTGAGATAATTCGAGTTTAATTGCTATCGTGTATGAGGACGATACATCACGACAAAAATCGTTAACACAGATTGAACAATCAGGAGATTTATTTTAACAACGATCTGAATAGTCGTGTTGGTGCTCGGAGCAGACCACACATTTAGCAAGGAAGGCATCCTAGATCTACATCCTACATAATGGCGGTTGATTGGAGGACAATCGCCAGGTGCTGTTCTATTTGATATAGACCTGTATAATATACGCAGAGAAACAAATAAAGGAACACAGGAAAATTCAAGCGTTCCTTTATTATTTTCCAGTTTTCATCACCAGAGCGCTATTCAAAGCTGGTGATGAAAACTAGAAAATATTAAAGTAACACTTGAACTTTCCTGTTTCCTTTATTTGTTTCTCTACGTATATATATCTTTGAAAGGAAAACAACTGTTTGTAATTTTGAAAGTCCTTATTCCATTTTATACATGGTGTTTTGGCATCGCGTATACCATGTTTGTGACTTGTAAGTCAGAATCAAAAAACGAAATATTTACGCTGTTGTTTTATTTTGTTGTTGTTTAAAATAATCCCGACGCACATGGTTGTTTCTTTCATTTTTCAGTTTATTTGTTACCTTTGACAATACTCAATAAACTTTTAATTAAATGCGACATGTAATCGGATAGTCCAGTTTCACCTTGTTGGCAATAAAAGCCTAATTAATCTGATTTGCTCCAATATGGTATGAGCTCAAATTAACTGATCAATTGCAAATTAATGACATAACGGGGTCTTTAAAGAGACGTCTTACCCCACGTCATGCACTCAACTATTATATAACTAAGGGTTGTTGTCATGGTAATGCCCTATGCTTAGTTCAGTGGCGGTGATATTATGGAGGATAAGCCTCCATGTGGCAATTGAGGAAAACATGTGTACAACCAGTGGCGGATCATACAAAATGGGGGTGGTGGTTTGCCAGGGGTTCGGAACACCCCCATTTGAAAATGACTTATTCCCACATTGAAAAAAAAAATTGCGTTGGCGGAGCCAAGGGGTTCAGGGGTGTTCTGTGTGTGTGTGTGTGTGTGTGTGTGTGTTTAACACCTTTATTTTCAAAATTCCTGGATTCGCCCATGTACACTATGAGTTCAATACTTTTAACCAACTGACGAATAGTTCGAACTGGTCCCGTCCACTTGCTTTATTTGTAAGTCGAAATGTAAGACTAAATGTAAATCGAAATAGTCGCCATATAGCTGTAATATTGCTGAGTGTGGCGTTAAACAACAACCAAATGTAAGTCGAAATGGGTAGAACAAACAACAGTTATACTCAAAGTAGTGGTCCCTGTGAGTTCGTCATAACATTTGTTCACTGTTTTGCATTCGGAGTTATACAGACCCAAAACAGACAACTCCGCCCTTTTCATCACGGACATATCATATACCACAACGCCTCGCATAAACGCGCGATTATTTATTTTGAAGGCCATCATACCCGGCGTTTTTCAGAGAGGTTCGTGTAGTTTTTGACAACTGTTCCCAGTCTGTAGGTCTAGACGTGAGTGAGTGAGTGAGACCCTTGCCATACCACGCCGGTGAATACAAGATACGTATTACCCGAGAGTGACTTAACTCACCACGTCTTTTGATTAACTGGAATACATACGAAAGACTTATAAATGAACAAAGTACTTCTCAAACCTGTGTGTGGAAAGGCATAGAATGAGGGTAATCCTGAGACCGACGACGAAGAAAGATCCATAAATACATCTTAAAGGACTAAGCATTCATTATTTTGTTAACCAATCATTCATGATGAGGTTGTGAAAATTAATCATAGACTACGCTATGCAATTTAACATGGTTTTTTTTGTATGGTCAGGGAGACTATATAACGTAGATTATCCCTGGTATGGTGTATGATAATTTGTTAGCTGTGCTGTGCCACAAATTAATTTGACTATGTGTAATTTGAATTCCTACATAAAATGTCGATTAATTTATGCAACAAGGATATGTAATTACTTCTTTCAGTACGACAAAGGGTGTGGTGAGAAATAAAATAGAAATTATAAAAATCTTAAAGTTACAGGTTGTATTATTGGTGCATTATTTTTTGTGATGATGGAAATATTTTTCGTGTGAGTTATAGTTACATCTCATATGCATGTTTTGATCCGAAAGAAAATTATTTCTCCATATAGCTTTTTAACCAGTGTTATATGAACAACACAGGGTTGTACATGCGTTTAAAAGTATACTTCTTTTAAAGACACATATTATTTGGTGGGTATCGCTTCGATGTAATCAGGGGAGGTAATCGTGTTGACCTTAGCGCAGGTACTCTTTCGTGACGTCATAACATGGCAGCTGCCTAAAGCGAAGACACGACAAGACGAGAACGTAGGTCAGCGAGTAAGTGTTGCCAAGATTTATGGTAAATCGGTAACCAGGACCGGTCATCTAATTAACATACATTTAGGACAACTGTTTATGTAATATTAATTCGAGAAAGGAACTTAATTCCTGCAAAAAAGATAATTTTGCCTACCCGAGATCCTTCTCAGGTGCTCGGAGGCCCAATGTTTTTCAAGGATGCTGATGGAAGTTAGACTTGGTAGGCTGTCTAGACCATTTATTCTGCCTTCTCGTTTATAAAACAGTTGTGTGAACTCGAGCGTTCTGGACAATATTCATACAGTGGGCTTGGCGTATGTATGACCTCTTCTAACACGCAGGCCTGTGAAATATTGATAGGATTGCAAGTTTTCAAAATAGGATTTTACATGAAGGATATATCCTCTTTCGGTTTTGACCATGTTTGGAATAGGCACGTGGTCGCCTGGCAACTGGTGTCAGTTTCCCTTCATTTTGACTAACATGAAAGAGATGTGCAGGATGCGAATTTGTGCACAGATAATATAGACTTGTCAGGCTCTATTGAGTTAGACAACTCCCTGAAACTACGCCAGATGTCTGGGCTAAACAAAACCAGTTCTGCTTCAAGCTTGAACCTGTAGATCGTGTGTAGGCAGAGAGTGAGTGATAGCCTATCCTACTATGCCTTAACCAGTAAAGTTGAACTCTAGTCTAGTCAGTAAGCATGGTGAAGGTAACTATTATTTCTCACAAAGTCTTGACCCGATTGATAATACAGATATTTCAATAATTCCAATTTGCCCATATAAGAACTGTAGATTATAATTTGCAAATGAATAATTCATTTGGATAACAGGAAATTAAAGTAAGATAATCTACTGGAAAATGAAAAGTGTGCTTTAAGGGTAAGGACATGTCCTTTAAGCATGTTGATTGACAATATAACCTGACATTTTGTCTCAGGATTCTCATTGGCCAGCATTGCATCCGTTCTGTATTCATAAGTTTACTTTGAATATGTTAATATTCAATACTTAATGTGTTCACAGATATAAAGTAGTGTTGTGTGTGTTTGACACTCATAAATGGAACCTCTTGACAACAAAAGCATGTTAAAAAATCTCTGTTGTCTTCCAGTGTGTGAAATAGTTTCCAGATGTTGCTAGCCAGACGGCTAGCTATGCCTGAAAGTTACGGCCCACAAAATATTTCACAAGCCGGAAATTTAAAGGTTTCATCATCAAGCTGCTGATATGAAGAAAATTGTTATGAGGCCATAATCTTACATGATTTAAAAGTGCATAATAACTTAACAAGTCGGAGAGAGTGATATATTTACAAAATGACCCCATGAAAATTCACTAGCAAGTCGGGCCAGTGACTGTGGAGACTTACTGGCCTGACTGGATTTTTACTAGCCATGGGCTAGTGGGCCAGTGTCCATTTCACACACTGTTGTCTTCGCCTGAAGGTTTTGTTAGCTTCTTCGACAGGGTACCCTAGACTACGGATGTCATGATTGACCAATACACTGATATACATTTGTATTTATATGTTATGTGATACAAACTTATCTGCCCAGATGAATATTTCTTGCATGGATTCATTCATAAGTTTGGGCACAAATCAAACGTATTTCACCAACAGTGAATTCTTCGTTATTTTATAATGGAAAATGCATATATTCACACAGTTGTATCTGAAATGTAGTAATGATTGAAATGAAAAATATTATTTCCAAATGTAAGACAGTTTGTGAGGAAGTTTCAAGCTCTTTCAATAGTGTTGACACCCTATGAAATATAAAAGTCACCCAAATTGCTGCTTAATATAATTATGAACAAAGCATCAGCATATGCATCATATTGGGAAATAGTTGTATTTGTTTTGTGACTTTCCTTTTAGACTCACAGGCTTACTCTCTTACTTTTGGTAAGTTTTAACGAAGTACAGTCACATGAGAGTAGTTGTGCTATGTATCAATGATTGATTATTCAATGTCAGACACACATACATACTGAAAACCTGCAGCTCTAAATGTGATAAAAAGTCCATGCAAGCCGTGAAAAAGTTATCAATAATGTTAAAAGCCTCTCAGTGTTACCATCACAAAGTTTCATCATGGATAGTTTAAATTCAAGATTAAGCATTTGAAAAAGTCAAGAGATCCTTGTCATGGCCTTTATGTCCAAGATTTATGGAGGTATCTAGATTCATATACAATAACCTCAGTAACCAAGGATCTTAGTTTAATTTTGAACACCACACAACATACTGTTCTACTGGTGAATAACTCCGACTAACACATGCGGTTCCTCACACATCCTGGCTCCCTAGTGCACTGCCTGTCATCAGTGTGCAAGGTACTGATGGGGGAAAGCAAGTGTGCTATATTTAGCCGTCTGCTACGGTAGAGGAGGGGAGAAGCGCTCACTGTGCAGACAGAAGAGCCTTGTGTAGAGTGGGATTACCCTATGTGGAATGGCTGTAGTCCCTTGAACCACAGTGGAATGACTGAAAGCGTGACAGTTGTACAGATGCTTGTAGGACAGATGCTTGTACAGATGGGCTGCATTCAGAGAATGTAGCAGACGGGCAGATCTCATGGGGCCTGTGCTTGCTACATCATTGTGGGGTGTTTCTGGCTGTGCCAAATTTGTAAGACATTCTTGTGTGTTCTTTTCGCATGGCTTTTTGCAAGCAGTAAATGACACTGTGTGGATTGAGTGTCTTGTGTGATACCTGCATGTCCAGTCAACACTGGTACGCTGTCTTCACGTTTCCATGACTGGAAGGAGATTTAAATTTTTTCGGTGCTGTTTTGTAAGTTTGTGTTTTCAGTTGTGCAGTGTCTTTCTGGAGATTATTGTTCTTATCTTGGAAATTATTATTTTCATCTAACAGCACGGTACCATTTTGTCACATTGAGTGGGCATGCTGTGGTGTAAATGTTTTGGTGCTATTTTGTGTTTTCAAATGTGCTGTTTCTTTCTGGAGATTATTGTTCTCATTTTGGAAACAACTGTTTTCATCCATCAGCACATCTTACGGTACCGTTTTGTCACATTGAGTGGGCATACTGTTGTTGTTTCGCGGAACAGGTTGGCAACAAATGTAGGGAAAGAATTCGATGAGTGTGTGTGTGTGTCATCTAAGAACTATGTGTTGAAAGGAGTGTTTAAATGGATTATCCCATGGAATTGAATTGTATCCAAGATCCTGATTTTACACAATATTCCAAAAAAGTGCATTTAGCAGGCAAACTGCCCAAACAATTTTTATTTTGATCAGATTTGATTTTTTAAGAATGTTAAAGATCTTAATTTCCTCAATGCACAGGTATGTTTACACTGTTTGCAGCATGTTCAGTGCAGGAAAGTTTGACTAAACATTGAATAACCTTCTTTTTGGCTCCAGTTATCAGCGAAACACAATTCACCCTGACTATGCCATTCTATTCAATATAACTCTTAACAACATGACCAGGGAAGGTTTGTGATCTCAATTTTAGATTCTTGACAGTCGTTTATGGTGGATTTTAGACCAGCTATGAGCATAATGATCCTCTCAAGGGGTCGAAAATAATTTCCAGTTAGTATGAATAGGTGGCTTGTGTAAGTATAAAGGATGGGATTGCATGAACAGGTCTTCATTAGAATCACCCTTTGCTCTTTGACCATAACATGTTCAAATGATATACGAATTAACAGTCTTGGACAGGATCACTCACTTCTTGTTCATTTCCACAACTCCTTGTATCTCAAGAATGTTCGATCATATCCTGGATATTTCTAATATGACTTGTTTGAAAGTGAAGAAAATCATTTACAAGAATTGTAGAGACTCATGTAATTTCTCAAGGAACAAGTAAATATGGCCACATGTTATAAGTCAGTATTGTCAGGGTTTTGCGGAACGCGTGATAACATAATCATCCTCAAATGGTACCCATTCATGCATATTGATGGACTCCCAATTTTGGAACTGGACTCTGAAAAAAGATATGCCGAGTCCATGGGACTCCCATTTTCGAAGAGCTATGTAAAACCCTGATTGTTACACCAAAAAGTTGTGTTTGTTTATGTCTATTTCTATTCATGTATTCCTTCGTGTGGCTGGAATATAGCTTACTTTGGAGTTACACAATAAACAATATATTTGCGTAAACGCAGTTCAGGTGCCTGTTAGCAGTACTTGTAGCATTGAGAAGCATGGTCGGTTGTCTTGAGCAGTATACACAATAACACAGGCGAATGTATATCAGTTGAGTGATCATTGAGGAAGTTTTCTATTTTGATAACGGTTCAGTGGTGCCAGATTGAAATTACATTCTGCACGATCATGGACATTTGACTGGGCGAAGTTTATTTACACTATGAGGCCTGATGGAAATATTCACAAGGTCCTAAATACATTAGATTCAATATTAGATTGGTTGTAGAGTGTGTAGGTAGGCTATGTTTTCTGTTTTCCTTATCTCTCATACTTTTGAAGACAATCTGTCTTTCGATAGTGTTGATTTTTATTCTTTAACATGTTCATGACATTATTTCTGTTAATGTTCTCTGCTGCAATATAGCATGTCTGTTGATTTGCTCTTTTACAGAAGATTTTAGTCTGAACATTTGGACATCTACATGCTTTTCAATTTGGTCATTTTCTTTGATCCCAATGTTGAAGATAGATCTGAGTTGAATGCTCATATTAATGTTCTCACTCTTATTACAAAACGTTTTATATAAGGACAGTAGTGTTGGGAATTGGTTAAAATCTCATAATTGATGATTGGTTTATTACAACCAATCAATCATCGAAAATAATTGGTTAGCGTCATTTGTGAAATTTTCCTGGTTATTTTTGTTAATGCACAAAAATAAAGAAAAAACATGTAGTTCTTTGGGTTTATTTTTTTGCAAATTGCACAAAATGGACTTGTAAATTTCACATCTTTAAAACATGACGAGTATGTTAGGAACATAAATTTCTTGAAGTCTTTAAGATAAATTCAAAATCATGACATGGAACAAGCTTGTAGTGCTTATGAAATGTAAATTTAATGACACAGACAAAACCAGCCTTGTGAAAAATATCATTAATGCAAACAAGTGTTCCAGAATTGTTTGCGTTCGATTATGAGAAAACATGATCGATTGCTTGGTCGTTTAATCCTCAAGTTCTGAATTTCCCATCTCAAAGGGGCTCCTAATTTAAACAGAATTTTTTGAAACTATCAAACATTATATATATTCAGAGACTAATCGTTAGTCAAGGAAGAATATGGCATCAGTGTGGAACAGATACAGATGTGTTGATTATGTAAACAGGCCATCCTGTGACGAAGGGTAATATGATCCCTGTGATGCAATGTTGTTCGTTTGATGACATAAGCTGTGAGATTTAGTTGTGGACTAATGGCTTCTGTTGTCAACAGGGGGTGAAGTGTCTATATAAGTGACTGGGTTAGTGGGGAACACATTGACTTACTGACTAGATAGGGAATGTTGGATGTCATACTTCCATGACAGTACAAGTGTGGTTATTTTGTTAGTCGTAATACATATTAGTATCTCAATTATTTGCAATTTGTGTTTGAGGAACTAGGTCTAATTTAGGGACAGTGGTAAGTATAGAATGATAGTTTCATATTTGTGTTAGATAGTTTGCATTTGTGATATGTCTGCAAATACTTAAGAAGTAAAGTTTTATAAGTGTTTAGCAGTGTTTATTGTATGACTTACAGATGTGTAACTTTTATTTTGAAGTTGTCCATAACCATGGCAACACATTAAAAGATACCAATGACTGTGTAGTACTTATGAATGATGTTAACATGGTAAACATTTGTTAAATGACATGGAAAAAACATTTGTCATTCACTTTTCAATTTGTTTCTTAACCCATATACTTCACTGTATAGTGGATGGCACCAGCATGCAAACAACATGTACAAGAGATAGCTGTCAGAGTCATGTCAGTGTTACCATGGTTACATCTGTGACTACTAAAATTCTCTCACTAAATTGGATTAATGAATGAGTTTTGTTACATTTGTTTCAAAAAGATAAGTATGCTTCACAGTATCTCTGCAGTTCATTCCAGTACTTGCATCATTAGTATGTCCATAGATCTGACTGTAGAAGTAATTCTGTTATTATGCTGACTCGGGGGTTGGGGGGTGGTAACCAGGTGTCAGCAGTGTTGTTTTAAGGATCATAATGAGTTGGATGACATTTGTTGATATACATCAGGTCAGTGTACCAGACACTGGAAGTTCATGTGAGGGTCACCGTGACCTGGCATCATGGAGCATCAGCAAATTAACTGCTGTGCACTTGGAACAGATATGAGAAATGCAGATTTGTGATTGTGAATACTGGTTAGATTACATCAGTTTTCAAAATTAAGCTTGAAACTCAAGGGTCCTTTTCGTAAACCAATTGTTGAAAGGATCGGCAAAACTTCAGTATTTGACGTGTTAGAGGAAGAGATATTGGCCGAGACATTAGGATCCCTAGACTAACACTTAGTCTCTGAATGTATAAAATTTTGACAGAAACAAACAATTCGTTAGTTTTAAATTGAAAAGGATTCCCAGTGACGAGGGAGATTAAGAACCTGAGGAAATCTAAACTTGCTTCATTTAGGGCTTTAGCATTGCAGAAAGGTCTAGTCAGAAGGAAAAATGATGCAGTTCAGGGATTGAGGCAGACAATAGGATCCGCAGAACACCTCTATTTTTAATGTGTGTATCTGCTCAACTTTTGGTAGGGATAAGCAGATGTCATTCTGTTTAAATATGCACTTGACATATTATCGAAACAATTTTTTGTATTATGGACAGATATATCTCTTGCACTAGTAGAAGATCCGGGTTAGAATTGGTCCTCATCAGTCCATGCTTGTTGTAAGAGGCGACTAACGGGATCGTGGTCAGGCTTGGTTACTTGGTTGGCACATGGCATCGTATCCCAAATGATGATGGTCACTGATGTCAATCACTGGATTGTCTGGTCCAGACTTGAATATTTACAGACCGTTGCCACATAGCTGGAATATTGCTGAGTGCGGCGTTAAACAACAAACCAACAAATATTTAGCTGTACAACCAACATTATCAACACTTGATTGTTTCGGGATTGATAACTATTGTTTCATAAACTATTAACCCATTTTGTAAGCAGGTTGCAGAGTCAGACGAACTTAACCAGGAAATCATGGATACTGCCGTAGAACAACCAGTTCAGGAGCAGCCATCTTCAACAACGCCATCTGTTGAGACTGAGATCGAGCAAAGGGAGTTAACTCCAGTGGTGTCAGACAAGGAAGAAGTAGCTGTTCCAGACAGCACATCAGAGACCAAAGTAGAAGAAGATGTGGATACTAATGGAGATATCAGCGACGATGGACTGAACGGAGACATGGAAGACCTTTCGCTTAACAGAGAATCAGAATCTCCAGGTATTTAAGGAGTAGAGATAGGTGTGCTGAGGTGACATGGGGTGTAAAGTCGCTTTCTAGACTATTTCACTTACACAGCGACATGTGTCTATGTATTTGTGTGTATCTGCCTTGACTAGACTACACAAGGCTGGTTTTATACTACTTATTCATCGAGATACCATGCAGCAGTACCGGGTTACTGGTGAAGATCCAGGTTAGAATATTGATCTTAAGTAACCCATGCTTGTCGTAAGAGGCGACTAATCGGATCGGGGGTCAGGCTCGCTGACTCTGTTGACACATATCATCGCATCCCAATTGCGTAGATCAGTGCTCATGCTGTTGATCACTGGATTGTCTGGTCCAGACTCGATTATTTACAGGTGAGGTGAGGTGAAATTGGGTTTTTATTGTGCTTGAGAATATTTCGCTCATATGACGCCATGCATGCGTGTGTATGTGTATGTGTATGTGAGGCTGCTTGTACTAGCCCAGACTGAAGCTGGTTTTATAGTGCTAGCCCACTGAGATACCATGCCACGGTGAAGCATGAATACCCCACTCAGACACATTATACTGACTCCAAGCCGACCAGTCCTTGTTGTGCCCATTAATGTCGAGCGCCAGGCAGGGACCAACACGTACCATATTTTAACGTCTTTTGGTATGACGCGGTCGGGGATCGAACCCGCGACCTTCCGCTCTCCCGGGCGGACGCTCTTACCACTACACCACGGAGGCGGTGATTATTTACAGAGTGCCACCATATACCTGGAATACTGCTGAGTGCAGCGTTAAAAAACCAACCAACCAAACAATGCAGCAGTTTCAAATGGACACCCAACACCAATACAATGTCCTTACTGAGTTAACCTTGATTTATCAATTTAATGTCATGTAAACTGCATGTGCCTTCTATATAACTTGGAATTGAACCACTGACCTTCCATTTTATTGACGCAAGGCCAAATAGAAAAAATGTTGGGGTTCCGATTACACCTCTTAAAAATTCAGGGTAGGTAGGTCGGAATTTTAAAAAATGTTTTACATATTTTTTTAGAAGTATAGTACAAACTAATAACCCATTTATCAATGTGTAATTATCCCCCGCAACACGTTTTGCGGGGGGTATAAAAATGGAACATGTCCGTCTGTGCACATTTGTCTTTTCCGGAGCATAACTCTAAAACCGTTCAATATTTCTTCACCAAACTTGGCTCATAGATAGATCTGGTGATCTACTGGTGCCTTTTGGTAGTTTTGGATTTCTGAATAAAATATTTTTTGCGTTTCCATGGCAACAAGTTTGACTTAGACAGAAATTGGTGGTCGTATTCTTTTCCGGAGCAGAACTCTAAAACCGTTCAATGTTTCTTCACCAAACTTGCCACATAGATAGATCTAGTGGTGAAATGGTGCCTTTCGGTAGTTTTGGTTTTCTGAATATAAAAAAATTCTGTTTCCATGGCAACAAGTTTGACTTAGACTGAAATTGGTGGTAGTACTCTTTTCCGGAGCTGAACTCTAAAACCGTTCAATGTTTCTTCACCAAACTTGGCACATAGATAGATCTGGTGGTGAACTGGTGCCTTTGGTGGTTTTGGATTTCTGAGTAAAATTTAAAAAAAATTGCATTTCCATGGCAACAATTTTGACTTCAACTGAATTTGATGGTAGTGCTCCTTTCTGGAGCAGAACTTTGAAACCTTTCAGTACTCTCCTTCCACTTAGCTATATACACGCCAACACATTTGACATAGTCATAAATCGTAGACATATTCATTAAGAGTATTTTGCCATTACGTTGGATATTGATGACTTTGTCTTCTTCTTGTTTATTCCATCAAGCTTGTGGCCATCATATCGACTTTCTCTGTCAGAATGGCAGATATCTGTTGATGGAGGGAAAAGACAATGGTATCTGAAAGCTTATTTTTATTCATCCCGCTTAAAAACAATAGGGTCGGCACCAGAATTCATGGGTCGGTCGGATACTCGGAACCACAACATTTTTTTTTAGGCCTAACTACAGAGACTTTCGGACATTTCCCACTGCATGGGCACTTTTTCATACACTGCCATTCTAATATCTGTTGTCTGTTGCCATAGAAACCACCCCAGCAGTCGTTGACTCCACACAAGATACAAAGGCAGACAAGTCCAAGTCGCAGAACAGCAAGGTTTCCTCGACAACGGTTGCCAAGGGTGACAGTAAGTCTGACTCCTCCTCCTCCAAACCATCTGGCAAAAGCAAGAAGAAAGAGGACAAGAGTATAGGTAAAGATAATTGGGGACAGTATAGACAATGCCTCCCTGGTCCATTACAGAGGTAACGTTGTCTGTTACATGATGTTACAGCCGTTGCTGATTACACACGTTACCATAGTTACTGGTTCCCCTCGGACATTACTTTAATGGATGTGCTCATTGCTTTACCAAGATATCGGTCAAATCCTTGACAGCCAAGTTTCTCAATATTGCACATAAGCTGAGATGTCAATCATTGGTCATTTATTTTGGAGCTTATACTGATCCATTGACTGGGGTTGTAGTGTACTGTGGATTTGTTATATTATAGATATGCACACTATTGTTATTGCTTAAAGTTTCTGACTGAAGCAGGTATAGTTACTTCCAGGACCTCTGCTGTTTCAGCCTCAACGTTTCTATAGATCAAGGGTTGGTGGGGTAGCCTAGTGGTTACCGATTTCGAACATCAGGTCCAAGTTCTGGGTTCGATTCCCCACATAGGTGCAATGTGTGAAGCCCATTTCTGGTGTCCTCCACCATAATGTTAGTGAAGTGTTGCTAAGAATGGTGTAAAACCACACTCACTCAATCGCTCACTCTAGCTTTGTTTGTTGTATAATGGCAATCAGCAGTATTCCAACAATGTTATGGAGGTCTGTAGATACATAAGTCCAGAGTCCAGATGAAACTGACATAATTATTTCTCAAGTAGAAGGTGTGGTGTCCCAGATATTTAAGAGTTGTTTTAAGTTTCCTGTAAGTGTAACGCATGTGAGGCCAATGGTTTATGTCCTATCAGTTAGAATTTATTAAATTAATCATGTGTATAATTGGGGTTTGCTGTTCTCAAGGCGACTATATTGTCGTGTATAACCATTCTTCCCGTTGAGAGGGGCGGTGGGGTAGCCTAATGGTTAAAGTGTTGGCTCGCCACGCCGAAGACCCGGGTTCGAATCCCCACATTGGTACAATGTGTGAAGCCCATTTCTGGTGTCCCCCGCCGTGATGTTGCTGGAATATTGCTAAAAGCGGGCTAAAACCAAATTCAGTCAGTCAGTCTTCCCGTTGAGATGGACATTTGTTCTCCCCAGAACATATCCTGCGAGCTCTCAACAGCCTACACACAACAGAGGAAAAATTGGCAGCGCTGTGTAAAAAATATGCTGATCTACACGAAGAGCATCGAGTCTTGCAGGCATCCTTCAAACAGGCGCAGAGGAAGATGGTTGTGGTAAGTTGGTTGTGCGTGTAGTTAAGAGCAGGCGGTGGGACAGGCTCATTGTAGAGAGTGTTGCAGGGTGTGTGGGGTGTGTGGGGCAAGCTTAGTGTATGAGGTGGGGCTGGATCAGTGTGTCGTGTGTTGCAGGGTGTGTGGGGTGAGGCAAGTTCAATGAATGTGGTAGGGCAGGATGTGTGGCGTAAGGCAAGTGTAGTGTATGGGTATGATAGATTCTGTGTGTGGGGTGAGACAGGTTCACTGTATGGGCCGGGGAAGGGTTTGTGGAGTAAGGCAGGTTCAGTGTATGGGGTGGGACAATGTCTGTGAATGGGGTGGGGAAGGGTGTATGGGGTGAGGCAGGTTCTGTGTATGGGGTGGGGTAGGGTTTGTGGGGTGATGCAGATTCTGTGTATGGGTGGGGGAGTAAGGTGTGTGGGGTAAGGCAGGTTCTGTGTATGGGGTGGTGCAGGGTGTGTAGGGTGAGGCAGGTTCTGTGTATGGGGGTGGTGCAGGGTGTGTGGGGTGAGGCAGGTTCTGTGTATGGGGTAAGGCAGGTTCTGTGTATGGGGTAAGGCAGGTTCTGTGTATGGGGTGGGGAAGGGTGTGTGGGGTAAGGCAGGTACAGTGTATGAGTGGTGTGGGGTGAGGCAGGTACAGTGTATGGGGTGGTGTGGGGTGAGGCAGGTACAGTGTATGGGGTGGGGTGAGGCAGGTACAGTGTATGGGGTGGTGTGTGGTAGGGCAGGTACAGTGTATGGGTGGTGCAGGGTGTGTGGGGTAAAGGCAGGTACAGTGTATGGGGTGGTGTGGGGTAGGGCAGGTACAGTGTATGGGGTGGTGTGGGGTAAAGGCAGGTACAGTGTATGGGGTGGTGTGGGAGTAGGGCAGGTACAGTGTATGGGGTGGTGTGGGGTAGGGCAGGTACAGTGTATGGGGTGGTGTGGGTTGAGGCAGGTACAGTATATGGGGTAGTGTGGGGTGAGGCAGGTACAGTGTATGGGGTGGTGTGTGGTAGGGCGGGTACAGTGTATGGGGCGGTGCAGGGTCTGTGGGGTGAGGCAGGTACAGTGTATGGGTTGGGGAAGGGTGTGTTGGGTGAGGCAGGTTCAGTGTATGGGGTGGTGCAGGGTGTATGGGGTGAGGCAGGTACAATGTATGGGGTTTGGGAAAGGTGTGTGGGGTGAGGTAGGTTCAGTGTATGGGGTGGTGCAGGGTGTGTGGGGTGAGGCAGGTTCAGTGTATGTGGTGGGCAAGGGTGTGTGGGGTGAGGCAGGTACAGTGTATTGGGTGGGGAAGGGTGTGTGGGTGAGGCGGATTCAGTGTATTGGGTGGGGTAGGGTGTGTGGGGGATGAGGCAGGTACAGTGTATGGGGTGGGGTAGGGCATGTAGGGTGAATAAGATTCATTAAAAAATGCTCAATACAACCTGACTACAGATTGATATTATTTTTTATGAAGTAGTAATACCTGTGACTGTATAACAAAACTGTTTGCTCTCAGACTGTTCGAGAGAAGGACCAACTTCAATCGGAACATACCAAGGCTGTGATGGCTAAGTCCAAGCTGGAGAGTTTGTGTCGTGAGCTTCAGAAGCACAATCGGGTCATCAAGGTGAGTGCTAGTCTGGACAGTAACACCTGTAGGCTCTTTAGAGTCTTTGGGTCTATGAAAACTGTAAACATGAAGTCAAAATGAACACTCTGATGGGGATTCTGTATATGAATAAAGATTCCTATCAACCTCTGAGAGGCGAGGATATGGATTTGTTGGACCAGCTTGGTGATTGGTTGATTACATGTCCAGTAAGCTTATAGATGCTCATAATGTTAATCACTGGATTATCTTGTCAAGACGCAACTATTTGGAGGCTGCTGTCGTATATATTGCTGAGGGTGATGTCAAATTCACATGCACCAAAGCAGCCTTGGTTTTAACAGAAGAGTTCTATTGACTGACATTGCTAAAGTTAGCCTGGTAACCAGGCATGTCGAAAAGAAGCTTCTGATTCTAGCTGTCGCTCTAATGAATTGTGCTGATGTTTTTGCCAGTTTTAGTCTTTTTAACGATTTGTAATCTAACTGACATGTGAAGATCCGGGGTAGAATAAGTCTTCAGCAACCCATGCTTGCCACAAAAGGCGACTATGCTTGTTGTAAGAGGCGACTAAAGGGATCGGGTGGTCAGACTCGCTGACTTGGTTGACACATGTCATCGGTTCCCAACTGTGCAGATCGATGCTCATGCTGTTGATCACTGGAGTGTCTGGTCCAGACTCAATTATTTGCAGACCGCCGCCATATAGCTGGAATATTGTGAGTGCTGCGTAAAACTCAACTCACTCACTCACTAATCTAACTTGTGCTTGTGATCACTATTATGCTGCATGCACACAACTATTTCTACTACAGGAGGAGAGTCTGGCTCGGGCTAGAGAAGAGGATGAAAAGAGAAAGGAAATCTCAAATAAATTTCAGGTAAACCTAAAAGCAGGGTAAAACACGAACGATGGTAAAGAACAACTGATTTTCACTTATGTCTAAGGATGGCAGATTAGTTGATGTAACATGAAGAAATTGGGTGTTTTTAAGTTTTCTTGATAAATATACTTGTTAAATCTGATGACTGGTCAAATGAAATTAAATTGTACCAGATGACAGATTTCTCTTATTTATTTATTTGTTTCCAGCAAACAATTGGTGAGATTCAGAGTCAGATGACTGACAACCACTGAGCATAACATCAAACTCGGGAAGACAATACTGAACTAGCAGGGAAACTGAAGAAATTTGTAGAGCAATACTGAACTACGAGAACAGATTAGGCAGCCATCAACATATGTGAAATTTTCACTGAGTGACATAACTCTGCAATTCAGAATTACATTTCCTTGTTTCCTGACCATTGATGATCCAGGGTAGAATAGGTCTTTAGCAACCCATGCTTGCCACAAAGGCAACTATGCTTGTTGTAAGAGGCGACTAATGGGATCGGGTTGTCAGGCTCGCTGACTTGGTTGCCACGTGTCATCGGTTCCCAATTGTGCAGATCGATGCTCATGCTGTTGATCACTGGAGTGTCTGGTCCAGACTCGATTATTTACAGACCACCACCATATAGCTGGAATATTGCTGAGTGCTGCGTAAAACTAAACTCACTCACTCACTAATCTAACTTGTGCTTGTGATCACAAATCTCAAATAAATTTCAGGTAAACCTAAAAGCAGGGTAAAACACGAACGATGGTAAAGAACAACTGATTTTCACTTATGTCTAAGGATGGCAGATTAGTTGATGTAACATGAAGAAATTGGGTGTTTTTAAGTTTTCTTGATAAATATACTTGTTAAATCTGATGACTGGTCAAATGAAATTAAATTGTACCAGATGACAGATTTCTCTTATTTATTTATTTGTTTCCAGCAAACAATTGGTGAGATTCAGAGTCAGATGACTGACAACCACGAACGCAACATCAAACTCCGGGAAGACAATACTGAACTAGCAGGGAAACTGAAGAAATTTGTAGAGCAATACGAACTACGAGAACAGGTCGGCAGCCATCAACATATGTGAAATTTTCACTGAGTGACATAACTCTGCAATTCAGAATTACATTTCCTTGTTTCCTGACCCGTGATGATCCAGGGGTAGAATAGGTCTTTAGCAACCCATGCTTGCCACAAAAGGCAACTATGCTTGTTGTAAGAGGCGACTAATGGGATCGGGTTGTCAGGCTCGCTGACTTGGTTGCCACGTGTCATCGGTTCCCAATTGCGCAGATCGATGCTCATGCTGTTGATCACTGGATTGTCTGGTCCAGACTTCGATTATTTACAGACCACCACCATATAGCTGGAATATTGCTGAGTGCGGCGTAAAACTAAACTCACTCACTTCCTCCTTGTTTCCTCGACCGTACCCACTTACTTTGTCATTTTAAATGCATGAATTCATAAACTGGACAGGTCACTTGTGAGATTAACATTAATGTGACAAAATGAGTGAAATATGCCAATACATCACTTTCTCTGAATGTGTCTTTGTTGTACTGCAGCAAGTGGAGAAGATCGTGCAGCACCGAGAACTAGAGAAGCAGCTTGGGGAGGCCAAGCTGGCACAGGCCAACGCCATGTTGAAGGAGCAGGAGGAGAGGTCCACAAAGGAGAGGGAGTTTGTAAGTGATTGTGCACAATTACCTCCCTTGGCAAGCCAGGATTCTATGATCGTTTGTTCAAAGTCAAGATTTACCTTGATTGTTATCCTTAGTCTGCTGTATGAACACTCGTAGGTTTCACCAAATTGTTAAACTGAACCTTGCATTTCTAAATATTTCACTTTCTGGATTTGCATCCCTTGCTTGTGACAAGATCTGGTCTCGGTTTAAATCCAAAGTTTTTCTTGACTATGATCATCTTTCTGTCATCACTCTGTGGGCATGACCAGAGTTGTAAATGTCTTCGTTTCCATCACTGGTCAGATCAGATTCCCCACATGGGTTAGAACTTGTCTTCAGTAACCCATGCTTGTCGTAAGAGACGACTAACAGGATTGGGTGGTCAGGCTTGCTGACTTGGTTGACACATGTTATTGTATCCCAATTGTGTAGATTGATGCTCATGCTGTTGATCACTGGATTGTCTAGTCCAAACTTGATTATGTACTGACTACTGCCATATAGCTGGAATATTGCTGGGTGCAGCATTAAACCACCCAACCAACCAACCAACCAACCAACCAACCAACCATACAAGCAAGCATGTCACTATAGAGTGCAATGATGCTGAATGCAGCATTAAACCTCGTCACCTCACCTGTGCTTTCCGTCATAGGTGAGAAAACGATTTAAATATCTTTGAAGAATGTCCCGTGTGATACTATCACTACAATATTACTTTAAATACCATTTGATGGAGTCTGTGTTGACCTACATGTGTTTTAGTTGCGTTGTCTCACTGAGGTTTTTCTGTGTTACAGCTCCTGCTACAGACAGCAGAGGCCCAGAAGAAGGCACAGGTTCTTGAAACACAGGTAAACATTGCTTAATTGTTTTAGAGACCCATGCTTGTCGTAAGAGCTGACTAATGGGATTGGGTGGTCGGGCTCATTGACTTGGTTGACACGTCATCAAATCCATGTTGCGTAGATTGATGCTCATGATGTTGATCACTGGACTGTCTGGTCCTGGCTGGATTATTTACAGACCGCTGTCATATTGTTGGAATACTGCTGAGTACAGAGTTAAACAACAAACAAAACACACAAAAATTGTTTCAGAAAACGGCTTTGCGTTATTTTCAGGATAGAATGCTTTGGTGTCATTAATCTGTATGAAGTATCTTTGAAGTGTCTTCTGAGTCTGTCAACCTTACATTGGCACCCAGTTTTTAACCATTTTGTTTGGCTGAGTATGTTTGTATATGATGAAAATTAGATGTGTGGCATTTGTTTCCTTGGCCCTGCTAAAAGATCTGTTTTAGAGTTTGTCATCCCAAGTTAAAGACTTTTTCCTCCATTGTTTAATTTCATGACAGGGATCATGTTCCCATCTTAGGGGTAACAGCAGATGATTGAATGTCTGTTGCTACTGACACTGACAGAATGTGTGTCAAGCCTGCTACTGACACTGACAGAATGTGTGTCAAGCCTGCTACTGACAGAATGTGTGTCAAGCCTGCTACTGACACTGACAGAATGTGTGTCAAGCCTACTGACACAAGCCTGCTACTGACAGAATGTGTCAAGCCTGCTACTGACACTGACAGAATGTGTGCCATGTCAAGCCTGCTACTACTGACAGAATGTGTGTCAAGCCCGCTACAAACCTGACAGAACACCCGCTACCGACAGAATGTGTGTCAAGCCTGCTACCTGCACTGACAGAATGTGTGTCAAACCTGCTACTGACACTGACAGAATGTGTGTCAAGCCTGCTACTGACAGAATGTGTGTCAAGCTACTGACACTGACAGAATGTGTGTCAAGCCTGCTACTGACACTGACAGAATGTGTGTCAAGCCTGCTACTGACACTGACAGAATGTGTGTCAAGCCTGCTACTGACAGAATGTGTGTCAAGCCTGCTACTGACAGAATGTGTGTCAAGCCTGCTACCTGAATGTGCATGACAAACAACCTGTGGCTGAGCCTGCTACTGACACTGACATATTGATGCAAGCCTGTTAAGGACACTGACAGATTTACCTGCTACTGATGCACGATAAAACAACCTGAGAAGGGTCGATTCAGATATTGATGCTTGAAAAGGAGACATTCATCCTGATGCTTTTTTTTGAGAGTCAAAACAATTCATCCATTTCCAAGTCAAACCGTCGATGAAAGTAAAAATTCCCACGAATTTATAATGAATGTGCAGATTTACCAGAGTTGACCAATCAGAGGGCTTGCTTCAACCACATCCTTGTTTTGTGAGGATATATTGTCAGCCATTTGTGACTAGATCGTTTAGTTGAGAGTCAAAATGAGGTTTCAATCACAATAGAGATTGATAGGTGTCATGTGTGGTTGTCGATAGGCCAATCATCCTTGATTATGTTTACATTAAGTTTTAATCGATTGCATGAGATTATAGCATAGTGATCGGCAAAGCAGGCAGGTGTGGTACACTAAAGTGTCTGGCCTTGTCATGATTTATTGTACTGTGAAGCATTTTAAGTCGGGGGTCATCTCAAACTTTTTATGTTTCTTTTTAAATTTTTAAACCTCGGAAAGATACTAGAGCCTGTGGGTAACAGCAGATGATAGTATGTCGGTCAACACTGACAGAATGTGTGTCAATCCAACTAGCTGTGTGCACAATAAAAACACCTGGCGGAGGGTTGATTTATATGTTCAAGTAGCATTTATGACCATATTAATGTAAACAAAGACTCTAAAGGATTTTCTCCCCTTAATCCAGTTCGGGGAGGTGGGGTAGCCTAGTGGTTAAAGCGTTGGCTCGTCACGCCAAAGACCTGGGTTCGAATCCCACATGGGTACAATGTGTGAAGCCCATTTCTGGTGTCCCCCACCGTGATGTTGCTGGAATATTGCTAAAAGCAGCGTAAAACCAAACTCAGTCAGTCAGTCAGTCAGTTAATCCAGTTCATTTACTTGGATGCACTGTCATCAGAGATTCCTAATTGAGCGTCTGTCATCATCATCCGTATCGAACTCGGGTGAATACACAGGTGAATTAAATTGCTAAAAAGTACGGTTGATGGACTTATGCTAGTACATATTCAAAGAAGATTATATAAGATTCCAGAAGAAAAATGTGGATTGGATGGGTGCAGTATATTTCCTGGCAAATTTTGTCTGTGTTGATAAAACCTGTGCCCTGTGTAACCATGGATACAAACCGTACTACACTGTTAGTGTCCCACCAATTGGGCAAGCAGGCAAGGATGGTGATAATTGGATGACTATGTCTTCTTTTATCTTAATAGCCTCCCTTACGTTGTTTAATGTTGATTGTGTTCCAGTTGACGATGTACAAGGAGAGGTATGAGGAGTTTCAGAGCACAATCAACAGAAGTAATGAAATGTTCCAGAAATTCAAGACAGAGATGGACAAAGTAAGTTGGGATAATTTCCTCTGTGACTTTGTGGTGCATTATTGCACTGACCTACTATTGACTTTATAAATGAAATAAGATTTAATAATTTTCTATTTTTCCTTATCCTGACTCATGCTCTTTTGCTTGTCTTCTTCTTCTTACGAACATAGTGGAAACACTTGTATCTCCTTAATTGAAGCTCCCTTCAATGTAAAATCACTAATTGGTACTCACCAAGAGTTGCTCCCCTTTAATCCCTCTGGCGGGAAAGGTGTCGCCACCTTACAACCTCGTGCTTCACTCTCTCCTTCTTCGCCCAGTGAGCAGGATGCGAGAGCGCCTGTGTCTCCTTACACAACATATCCTTTGATATTTCTTAGTTTATTACCTCTTATAGTTTACTATAGAGGTATAGCTAGTATCCTTCAGTAATTTGTATTGATTATTTATCATATTTCTACTGTTTATTCAATGTGTATTCGCGGATTGTTCAGCTAGTATTACGCTGATGAAAATCTGTACTATTTGTAGATTACGCTTTTCTGCCTCAGATCCGCTTGTAATATGCCCTAGTTGTTCTACTGTGTGTTTGATTCACGTTGCAGTTATTGCATTAATTTATCTAATTCTGCATTTAATAAATATTATCTTTGCGTCTTAAGACGTGCTGCAGATAGGGCACGCAAAACAAGGGCTAAATATGGCTGATACTCCAGATAATCCGCCTAGTCAGCTGCTGGCGATCGACCCCCTACCGCCTGGTGTTCTGCTAGTGACCCCATCGAAGAGGGACGTGGGACGCAGTCCGTCACCTCTAAGAAGCCGACCGCCTCCCAGACATCCCGTCATCGCAGCTAAAGTCCAAGAGGGCCTCGACGCCTTCTCACGCAGACTTCGTACCCCCAGGGCAGCGCCGACATCCAAAGGAAAGTCACGAAGACAGCGAGAACTTTCTCAGCGAGATCGCTCCAGCCGAAGAAATGGGCCTCTACGATGACCAGCCGATTATCATCCCGACATACGGCAATAAGAAGCGACCGGTGTCAGCGACAGTGACTTCAGCAGAGATCTCCATGCAGCCTGATGCCTCTACACTGATGTCAGACGTTATTGCCGTGGACCCCATCATTAACACCGCAGAGAAGGCTCAGACGGCGCTCGTCGCGAGACCATCCCTGATGACCTGATGCAGCAAATTATGACGATGATGGAAGACCGATACAGACTGCAGAAGCAGGGACCGAAGCTCTTCCAGCGAAGGCTCCAACGTGGAGCAGCACCCCAGAGGCACCCCCGTCAACGTAGCAGCCAGGACGATGTCACCTTCGCTGAAGGAAGGCACGGACCACCTCCCACGAAGGACCTAGATGTACAGCCTTTCGCAAAGGCCTTCGGGCGGATAGATCATCACCCTCGCCACTTTCATCCCAAGATGTGGACTCGGACCATCAGACATCACTTAAAGCCTTCAAGCGAAGGTCTTATCGTAATTCCCCAGACGGACGAGAGGAAGCTTCGCCAAGGCATTCGCGAAGGGCAGCTGAATCCAGATCATCATCATCTAGAAGGACATCGAGGGACTACACAAGAGCTTCGCGAAGCTATCAACGCTCTCCTCACAGGTCACCGAGAAGATCAACCCATAGACGTAGACCACCTAGAAAATCTCCTCCTCGTTCATCACCACGTAGATCACCTTACAGGTCACCATACAGAGCTGCACAAGCATCGCCGGACTTAGAGACAGAAGCACGCAGTCCAGAGCAGCACCAACCTCTCATCAATGATGATGGTATAGAGGATGATGGAGGAGTTATTTTCTCCGATGCTGAGATACGGTATTGGATGGTCAATAACCTAGATCTCTCATCACCATCTGAAAATGGCAATGTATGCCAGACATATCTGATGAAAGAAGACGATGCAGATGCTATCACACTACCACCGATCGACCCGATTACAGCAGTCCCACAGAATCTAGATGCAGCATTCCACAAAGCCACGAAAGTTCAGACACCACATCTACCAAACTTTCATGCCAAGAAGTTCTCCACGCATAACATGGACCCCTTCTTCAAAGCTCAAGACATCGATGAGAACTATAAGTTGATCAACGGCGTCGCAAAGTACAAGAATTACAAGATTGATGATCGCGAAGTTAGTCCAGATAGAAACCATGACGCAGGCGTATGTTTTGGTTTAAATAGATCTAGAACGATCAATGAGACTCTTATCACCAGATTTCGGTGGATCACGACTTCTAAGGATGATAGAATGATTTATTCTGCCTTACTTATGCAAAGAAAAGACCAGCAGTTCCTAACAGATCATCTTACATCTATTTCAGCAGCACTGACCTTAGCTCGTCGTCAAGGCCTCCACGCTTCCTGCAACTGGGGTGAGAACTTTACAGCCCCACTGTATACAGCCCGTGGTCTTCAACATCCATCTTTAACGGAGAAATAGACAAAGTTTCCAAAGGAAGTCACTAAGGATTCCAGAGAAGTCCTTATGATTAAATCGATGGACACACTAGCCAGCCATTCGACAGACTTCACAAAGATACTCAGGAAGATCTAAATTCACGGGCCTACAGAGAGCACGAGACAGGAAGATAGCCAGCTCTAGAGGAAAAGATTCTTTTAAATCCGCCCATTAAAGCAACTATAGAGGAGGCTCAGGAAGAGGCAGGACACCCAGAGGTTCCCGCAACTATAAACGCTGAAAGACAGGTTTGGAACGACTGGAGTCTTCCACCCCAGCCGCTCCAGTACAACCAACCCAAGTGGGTGGGCCTCCAACTATACTGGGAAAACTGGGGAATGTTACAAGACCCTTATGTCTCCAGCATTCTTCGCCACGGATTTCTACAGATCCCACTAAAGGCCAAGCCTCCACTGACAGTCAACCCTCACAAGTTCGGCTTACAGGCACAACAACTACCGGGTTAAGAGAGGCTGTTACATCACTCCTAATAAAGCAGGCCATAGAAGTACTAGACCAAGACAACATAGAACCAGGTTTCTACTCCCCAGTTTTCCTAGTTCCCAAGAAAACTCCAAGGAGAAATACAGACTCATCTACAACATGAGCTTTTTCAACAAGAACTATCTCGCGAAACCTCCGGTTCCGCGATGATACATTTACCTCAGTTACGGCAGTTGATTCGCCCCCATGGACTACATGGGCAGTATCGATCTACAGGACGCTTACCTGCACATCCCGATACACTCCAAAGCCAGGAAATACCTACGGTTTACTTTAGACGGGCAACATTACCAGTGGAAAGTGCTCCCATTCGAATATCATCAGCCCCTGGCTTTTCACGAGGATAACTAAACCGATTATCACCTATCTTCATCATCAAAGGGCTACGCGAGTCGCGTTTTACCTCGACGACGGGATACAAGTAGATCAAGATCCACAGCATCTCAAACTACAGTTAAACTACATCATAAAGCTACTAACACAGCTAGGATGGTTAGTAAACTTACTCAAGTCGGACCTAGTACCGTCACAAGACCTACAGTTCCTAGGCATTCGATTTATCACAAATCTCAACCGTATCGTCGTACCAGAAGACCGTTGGATCAAGATCCAACAGACCATTCCACCAGCTCTACTCTCTCGTTACCACTTCTCGACAGTGGCAGAGCCTCTTAGGTCTCCTCACATCAGCCCAAGACATGACAGTCAGAGGCAGGTTACAGTTACGCCCCTTACAGGTCTTTTTTCAATGCACATCTCGACGATTTACAGCCATTCAGTCTGCGAAACATCTCAGACCTCATCTACTATGGTGGACAAAGAAATCGAATGTCTGCGAAGGGATTTGTTTAGCAGAGCAGGAATTCAAAACCCATCTATATGTGGAATGCGTCACTTCAAGGTTGGGGAGCTCATCTCAGCCAACCAGGCGACATCGGGGATTATGGAACCAACAAGAAAGCAAACTCCATATAAACATCCTAGAGATGAAAGCTGTAATCAACGCCATTCTACATTGGAGCACATTTCTACAAAATGCGCGCCTTATGATTCATACCGACAATTCCACAGTGGCGTTCTCGTGAACAAGCAAGGCTCAACGAGATCACTGAACCTTTTGAACTTAAGCTTTCAACTATTCGATCTAACCCACGCATCTAAATCTACAGATCAGAGCAGTTCACATTCCCGGGCCAGAAATGTGCTGTGCAGGCGCTTCTCGGCCTCATCTACCATCACCGACAGAGTGGATGCTCAATCACGGAAATATTTGCACAGATAATCAAGCCGTTAGCGGCGCCCGGCTAATAGATCTATTAGCCACAAGATTCAACAATCAGCTACCGACATTACGGTCACCAATCCCAGATCCACAAGCTTGGGAAGCGGACTCTAAGTATATCATGGGAAGGCCTCAACGCATCGTGCAGGCGTTTCCGCCGCCAGCAATAATAATTCCTCAAGTATTACAGAAAATCAAACAAACACAGAGTCTACAACTCACTTTGGTCGCCCTACTGGCCGGCCAGAGTATCAGTTTCCCATTCTAATTCAAGAAATCGGTCAACAAGTATTAGAGCTACCCGAAGCTCCAAACCTGTTAATACATCCACACACAAAACAAGTGCATCGGAAACCCAGAAGTTTACCAACTTCGCGTATGGACTGTATACAAATGTGTTTAAACAAGAGAGGATATTCTGCCAGGGCGGCAAAGCGGTCAAAGCGCGCTTGCGACACTTTTTCGACTCGTGAACTTGTACCTACGACAAGTGGCACAGTTTAGAAAATTATGCAGCTAATAAAGGATTTACGAGAGATGCTTCACATCCTCAAGTGGCAGACTATTTGTGTTACCTGCGGCAAAACAAACATTTAAGAGGTTCGACGATATCAACATATCTTGCCGCCTTTAGCTCTGTGATCACTATGAGAACGGGTGTCAAACTGACAAAATCTCCAGAGTTACTGGCCTTACTACGTGCTTTCCGATTGGAGGACCAAAAGCGGAAGTTCCACTCCCCAGCTTGGGATCTGAATATAGTGTTACAACACCTCACTAGTGAGGCCTATGAACCTTTGGAATCGACAAACTTTGAATTTCTCTCACAGAAAACACTATTTCTGCTATCTCTATCTGAAATTCACGCTCTGGATTACGAGAGGATACAGTTTGATGACAATCAAAACATAGCGCACCTGGGATTAAGATGGGATTCCATCGCCAAAAATCAACTACCAGGTCAACCAGACAGGTTATTCCATGTACCAGCGCTATCCTCGATTCTCGGATCACAAGATACACAAGACTTATCACTGTGTCCAGTCAGAGCTCTCAAAGTTTACTTACGACGATCCAAAACGAGGCGAAGATTTCTCAAAAGATTATTCATCCCTTATCGCCAAAGAATCAAACAGAAGTCTCGCGTGCTACCATATCTATTTGGATAAGGACTGTCATACTTCTCAGCCTACAAGGCAGCAGGCTTGGACCCACCAACAGCACCAAATCCATGAGATTAGGGCACTGGCTTCCACCCTCGCCCTGCGGTAACTGTTCATTGAACACAATTATGGAAGGATGCTTTTGGAAATCGAACATGGTGTTTATGAATCACTACCTGAGACATCACCACAGAAGATGTCTCTGGCATTCACCATTTCGGCCCTTTGGTCCCTCGGCTCAACAGCTGACAGTCCCTCAGTGAGGGCTTAAATATTACCATCACAAGTTTAATATGTATTATATACATAATTTAGCTAGCTTATAACTCTAAGGAGTTCTAGAGCTATGTATATATTTAGCTTAGGTTATTCACCCCTAAGTATATATTGACATTATGTTTAGTTGTACAGCGACTCTATCAGAGTCACTTATATATATATATATAATATATATGTAATGGTTTTTCAGTATATATCAATGTAATACCCAATTATGGCATTATATAACCTATGGTTTATATACAGGAAATATCCTAAGTCAATGCCTTCATGAAGTTCCCATACCGGTTATTATAGTTATATTTATACAAAATCACTAATTATAAATCCAAAGTATTCTATTACTCCCTCCTCCTCGTTCCGTGGGATTCTACAAGCAAAGAGCATGAGTCAGGATAAGGAAAAATATGTAATTTTTAGAGTAAAATTGATATTTTATACTTATCCTGACTCATGAGGTCAGCTCCTCCCATCCTCCCCATAACACTTTGGATTTCCCGTAAATTCAAGTGTTGGGCTCAAGTAAAATCAGGAGAGAGTGAAGCCTAGGTTGTAAGGTGGCGACACCTTTCCCGCCAGAGGGATTAAAGGGGAGCAACTCTTGGTGAGTACCAATTAGTGATTTTACATTGAAGGGAGCTTCAATTAAGGAGATACAAGTGTTTCCACTATGTTCGCAAGAAGAAGAAGACAAGCAAAAGAGCATGAGTCAGGATAAGTATAAAATATCAATTTTACTCTAAAAATTACATTTTCCTTTGCAATGGGTTTCCCTTCCATTTTTAGTTTCAGTATTTCTTTCGGAAAATATATGAGATATCCTTAGAAAACCTCCCATGCAACTATTGCCTACAATGTGGAAATTACTATGCATGACTTGTATAACATGTCAGTGACTATTCTCTTGCCATGCATCATCGTCCTAAGGCTCAGTGTATATTGTCCTATTTGTAGATGGGTAAGCGCATCAGGAAACTGGAGAAAGAAGGTGCTCAATGGAAAGCCAAGTGGGAAAGCAGTAACAGGGCACTGATAGGCATGGCAGAGGAGGTAAGCAGTCAGGGTTATTTCCCTTGTGTGTTCTTTTCTCTCACACTGCCAATGATGAAGTTAGCAAGACCATCTATAGCATCTTCAATTATTATGTCCCATTTCCATTTTGATAAGTGAACATTTTGATCGGGTGAACAAGCCAGTGGCTTATGCAAACACCTCTCCCGTACAACATAGAGAAAAGAAAACACGATTGTGATGACATCATAAAATAAGCATTTGAGTGTTGTTGACAAGTGTAATGAAAATAGCAGTAACAATGTCAGATATCAAACTTATAACAGTATATTAAACAGTATATCTCTTTGCATCTTGTGAAATTATGGAGTTATGTGTTTCATATCTTAGCATTTAACGAAAGCAGGAAATCTACCTGATAAAGGTATAAACTTGGTTGACACATGTCATTGTATCCCAACTGCATAGACTGAATCTCATGCTGTTGGTCACTGGATTGTCTGGTCCAGCCTCGCCATGTACCTGGAATATTGCAGAGTGCGGCGTCAAACAGCAAACCAACCAACCCTCAATTTTGTATAGGATTCATAATAAAGCTATGATGTCAGTGGTGACAAACATATCCAGGGTGTTTATCATGACTGTGGATTATGTGGGATGAAGTTTCTTTGGTTCTCTAGTGTTGGTTGCTCTTTTGTGATGGTTGTAATGTGTTTTAGTTGTAGATATTTAATTCAAAATTTTGGTTTGTACAGGAAAAACAACCTTATTAATAGTTAGAAGTTTGGTTAAATTGTTTAGTAAATATATAAGGGGTAAAATGTTTGTAACCTTGTTTTAATCCACAAATAGACAGGGCTCTCTGGATATGGTAACGGCCATTATGGTGTCCGTATCAGCTGGTACATTACAACTATCTGCTACTTTTGTTTAATCCACATTCACATTTTGATCTCTGAGATGACGTTTATTTCAGAAAACTAAATACGACAAGGAGAAGGGTGTGTTATTAACAAAAGTAAGCAAGCTGGAATCATTATGCCGAGAGTTGCAGAGTGAGCTTCATGGGAAGAAATCCACATCATCACCCGCAGATGGTGAGTGCCATTTTGATTAAGTTCTAGGGATTTATTTCCTGACAGAGGAAGAATTAATGAAATATAAAAATTACTAATCTACAAATATTATCTGTCATATTCCTGATATATGGGGATTTTGGGGTTAGAATTTGTGCTCAGCAACTGGTCTTAACTGTCAAGGGGTGATGGGGTAGCCTAGTGGTTAAAGCGATTGCTCGTCAAGCCAAAGACTTGAGTTTGATTCCCCACATGGGTACAATGTGTGATGCCCATTTCTGGTGTCTCCTGCCGTGATATTGCTGGAATATTGCTAAAAGCGGCCTAAAACTAAAATCACTCACTCTGGTGTGGTGTGTGTGTGTCTCTCTCTCTCTCTTACCACCCCCACCCCCACCCCCCATAAAAAAAAAAGCTGTAATATTGCCGAAAGCAGCATATAAATGATTGTATACTGATCTCCACATTGTGTAGTCCAGACTGAATTATTTACAGGCCTCTGTTATATAGCTAGAATGTTGCTGAATGCATCTTATTTGGTACATTGTTTAATGGCAATAACAATGAAACTTCAGTACAACTTTGTATTTCTTTCTCATGTTACACACATTGCTTCTGGGGTGGTGGGGTAGCCAAGTGGTTAAAGTGTTAGTCCATTTAAGAAATACACTTCGCTCTACCACCATGTATAGTGTAATAAAACACACTTTTGCCCTGAACTATTATAGTTAAAGCACGAGGACGCTTGCGTCCGAAAGTGCTTTAACGCTATAATAGTTCAGGGCAAAAGTGTGTTTTATTACACTATACATGGTGGTAGGGCTTAAGTGTATTTCTTTTCAAGATGCCAAATTTAATACTTTCTAAAGATAATTACGATTAATTTAAGGCAGAAAACAAACGACGGTGTCGGGTGACCTAAATTAAGAATCCTCGCACAGGGCTAACTGGAGCCCTGTTCTATTGATGTGTCTGCCCCTACGTTAAGACGAACGCTACCAGAAAAACAAATGATAACAGTTTGATGACGGTTTACGTTCGATTAAATATCTTCTCTGAATTATTTTAATTACATCTGTCATTAACGTAAACCATATGGGGCAATATGAACATTGCATTTCTACTACCAGCGTAAGTTTAGATCAGTACATCCAGAGGAAGTTGAGTAGTCAGCGACATTCCACAATTGCATTGTGGGAATGTAAACATTACTTAACGCTACCGTCGCTCAAAACTTGTGAGTCGAAATGACACATTTTAACCGTCCGTAAAACATAAACATAATGTTTCCACCAGTGATGTTAGCTGCGTGAAGCAACAGCAAACCAAGAAACTGGATGCAACGGTGTAGTTTACTGTAGGAGGCCGTACGAGGCGATGACAACTGACATGCATCGTGACGTCGCTTACATTGTGACGTAATGTAAAATGGTTCGATTACGAGGGGGCACACTAGAATGGCGCAGTGACGGGATAACGTCATTCAATTGTTACGTCATCAAAAAACTATACCTTTATTATCTGATAATGTTTGTTTTTTTCGATTGTTCTAACCGCTAGGCATCTTAGAATTCTGGTTAACCCCCGTGATGTTGCTGGAATTTTGCTAAAAGTGTCGTAAAACAAAACTCACTTACTCACTCACTTTCCTTCTGATTTTTGTTTCAATATAGCTTTATAGTCTGTTTGCAGTGAAAACGTACCGATGAATTTCACTTTAAACCAAAAAGTCAATCAAATAAAGTGAAATTAAGATTGCGAATCCTCATAATTTTACCTTGCCAATTGAACATTTAAGTATCAGAATTTTATTCGTATTAGGATAAAAGTTGTTTAACAAACGATCATAGATTCAAATCACTTTTATTGGGTTGTATTACAAGGGGGCAAGCGCGCTACGTGATGGGCGTTACCTTAGACCACCCCTACTTGTTCTTGGTGTTTCATTTGATGCAATCTTAATTTCACTTTATTCGATTTACTTTCTTGTTTAAAGTAAAATTCATCGGTACGTTTTCACTGCAAACAGAATATAGTCTGCTTTAGTGTTTGCATGATGAGATACATGTTTCCTAATAGTTTTGTCATTGCTCTAACAATCAAACAATTTTTGTACTCAGCTCTTGTGGCCTATATTTGGTACCGAGGTTGGCTGGGTAATATGGAGTCGGGTACCAGGGTGGTCAAATTTGACAATCCCTAGACTAACGCTTAGTCTCTGAATATATGTAATTTTGATAGTAACAAACAAGCCCATTTAAATTGAAAAGGAGCCCCAGGGAGACCAGAGATTCAGAACCTGAGGAAATCTAGACTTGCTTTATTTAGGGCTTTAGCACTGCAGAGAGGGCTTGGCAGTAGGGAAAATAATGTGGTTCAGGGACTGTGAGACAGACCAGACAATCCCTTACGTAGCGCTATGCTCAATCAATCACACCTTTGGTCATGTATTGATGTTAGGAATTCATTTTTATTGTCATGCACTGTAATTGCTCTGTTGTTGGTGGGTAGCCCCGTGGTTGAAGCATTCACTTGTCAGACTGAAGAATGGGTTCGATTCTCCACATGGGTACAATGTGTGAAGCCCATTTCTGGTGTCCCTTGCTGCAATATTGCTGGAATATTGCTAAAAGCGATGTAAAACTATACTCACTCACTCACTAATTGCAGGGTATGAAACTCCCAAAAGTTTCACCCAGACCACAGGGATGATTATGTGTACAACTTGCCAGCACTGACCAAAATTTACCTGCCCACAAACTATCTTCATATACCAGTACATGTCTAAATTTTAACCCGAATTTGATAATCTGGCAGTCGGGCAGGCAGGTATTTCGAACGCTGCTAATTGCTCTCTTATTTTTTAGTAGACCTGCAACAAGCAAATGATGATAAGGGAGAGCCCACAGCGACCCCGCCAACACGCCTGAAACTACATCCAGAAACAGTCCTGTTAAAGATGAAGAGGCACCTTCAGACTCAGGGGAGGCAACTCCGCCAGTCCCACCTCCATCCAGCTCCACAGCCGAACAACTGTCCACAGCGTCCAAACCATCAGAACAAAATCCCCCAGAAGTGAAAACAGCACCGGAGGCAGGAAGTCCTTCAAACAAGGAAGCAGTTTCAGAGATTACTTCAAGTGAGAAGGCAGTCACCATGGTTACAGAAAATGCTTTAAATAAAGAAGAAGTTTCAGAAAATGCTTCTGAATCAGTTACACAAGATGCTTCAAAACAGGAGGTGATTACAGAAGATGCTTCAAAACAAGAAGCTGTTTCAGAAGATGCTTCAAAACAAGCAGCTGTATCAGGAAACACAGTTGAGGAATATGACATCACTCCGGTGGATTAATGCTTCTAGAATTGTGTTATTTTGCAATTACCTTCTCAGTAGCTGATGCCTTGGATGTACATAGCTGTCCTGTGAGTCCTGATTCTATTTATGAGAATTTCATTTCTTCCTTACGTTAGGCCTGTCTGGCTCCATTTCAACCCTTTATTTATCATGGCCTTGTTCAGGTCAAAGTTGAAATAGTATTGTGGTTCCTGAATATATTTGTTCCAAACAAGATTATGCAATGAAAATATTTAACCATCAAACTATCTCCTGCTGCAGTGGGCATTAATGGTATGTCCAAACAAGTTTGAATCTGTTATAAACAGTGAATCAGTATGGAAAAAGTATTTACCGCCTGATCATTATGAATAAATTGGAACCACAAGATGTATTTTGTATATGGCCAAATCATATCTTTGAATAAATTAACTGTTTTATGTAGGGTTAATTTTTACATGTTCTCAGTAGCAGGAACTGACAATACTGTACATACTTTTTCAACCTGAACTGTGTGAATACTGTTCTTATAATGTAACAAAGATGTAACAGTGTGATACCAAATACCATTATGTAAGAAAATACTGTTTTGGTTATGTTCATTGCCCATTCTTATATTGATCCGTGAAATGTGTCACATGAAACTGTTTCATATGCATTGTACAAATTTGCATGATGCTAGTTGAGTTTGGAGGAAAGTATTTGTTACCATGGTTACTCGCGTGATAATGGTTCCTCTGTGATTTTGAGGGTGTTTGATTTTCTTCTATAACACCAATCCGAATTTTTTATATTCTTGCTATAATCCCTTTCTTAAAGGTCATATTACTGCATTTCACGAGTTCTCGATAATTTCATTTTGAAGCAACTGCCCATTCTTCATTGTCGGATGGGGGTGGTGGGGTAGCCTAGTGGTTAAAGCGTTTGCCAAATACCCGGGTTTGATTCCCCACATGGATACAATGTGTGATGCCCAGTTCTGGTGTCCCCTGCCGTGATATTGCTGGAATATTGCTAAAAGCGGCATAAAACCAAACTAACTCACTCACTCATTGTTGGATGCTGTATGTCATCTTAGTAAAGCTCAAAACATTTGATACTATATTTATTGTGTGCGTTAATGGATATATACATTGGATGTAGAGAGCTCTTAACTCAAGAATTTACACTCATTCTACTTGAAGTAATTATGTTGTCAAGAGTTTGGAATAAGTGTTCATCACTGTCTAACATTCAAGTGTTCTCCAGCAGCAAGACATTTTAAATGGGATGTACCCTAATGTATGCGCCTCATGGGTGGTGGTCGGATAAAAGGGAGGTAATCACGATCTTGTGATGGCAAGTAAGACAGCGCCCATAACCCTTTCATATGCATTAGATGTTACACCAACCCATCCTATCATGCTTTTCCTCATTGATAACCAGTTACTTACTTTTATATGAGAAAATATGGCTGATCTATGGTCACTTGGTGCTACAGAAGAATGTCCTGTACAAAGAATGCTTAGTTAGAAATGAATGGTGGACAGTGCCTACATCTCAGCAGGGCTTGTATTCGATCTCCATGCAGGGATTGTATTCAATCTCCATGCAGGGTTAAGAGTAACACTGTGAGGAGTTTGTATTACATCCTAATTATTAAGGTGTGTTTGATATTACAGTGGTTGTGACAGCAGCGATACTGTTTTTGGCATATATTATATTTATGTATATTACACTTCATATTCTGTTGGAAGGTTTTAAGATTAAAAACAATTACCTAATTGAGTGCTTGGTAGTGAAAGCTCTTCTATTAACTTTTGTATATTTGATTGTTAGCCTGTAGATTATTTCCTTTCTCTTGCCAAACTTTGATCTATCTGATAACTGATAAAAAAAAATGCAGCCCAGTGTTGAACGTGATTGCTCTTTCAGCCTCAATACCTAGGTTTGGACCGCAAACATAGAATTTATTTCACAAGGCATATGCATTCTTAAACTGTGTTAAAATGTTTTTTACTTAAATAAATTTTGTCACTTGCAAACAACATGATCAAAAGACACACCATGTTTATTTGTGAATTCACAGCTATGTTCATGTTGAAGACACCACATTATGATCAAAACCTTTTTAATTGAATGTTGAATAAATTGTGGTAGTCTAAACTACACCACTTTGTGCTGTACAGAGTTGCACTCCTTGTCCTATAAGGATTTGCTGCTCTTGTGTTAGAGTCCTGGATTAATATGATTCACCAAGATAATGATGTTTCTCAGCAGCCAACTACTGTACATGGGCAGTACACATTTACCTCCCTTGTCCTGTCAGGATTCGCTGCTCTTTTGTTAGAATACTAGACAGAGACAATTCAACCAGATTAACTGTCTGTCTGCTCCATATTTACACTTAAGAGTTGCTTCCCTTGTCCTGTCAGGATTCGTTACTCTTTTGTTAGAATACTAGACAGAGACAATTCAACCAGATTAACTGTCTGTCTGCTCCATATTTACACTTAAGAGTTGCTTCCCTTGTCCTGTCAGGATTCGCTGCTCTTTTGTTAGAATACTAGACAGAGACAATTCAACCAGATTATCTGTCTGTCTGCTCCATATTTACACTTAAGAGTTGCTTCCCTTGTCCTGTCAGGATTCGTTGCTCTTTTGTTAGAATACTAGACAGAGACAATTCAACCAGATTATCTGTCTGTCTGCTCCATATTTACACTTAAGAGTTGCTTCCCTTGTCCTGTCAGGACACACTGCTTATGTTTGGATCCATGATACAATTTACCAAGGTTATAAGGTTTCTGTCAACACATCTTTACATGTTGCACAAACCGGTAACCATGTACAACACTTGAGTCTGTCCTCCTGCAGTAGGGATGGTGGGATAGCCTAGTGGTTAAAGTGTTCAGTCATCAGGCGGAAAACCCGGGTTTGATTCCCCACATGGGTACTATGTGTGAAGCCCATTCTGGTGTCCCTATTGTGATATTGCTGGAATATTGCTAAAAGGGGCATAAAAGTAAATTCACTTATTCACTCCTGTAGTAGAGAGGAAGCAGAGATATGGCTGAAAACTGTTCAAGGAGCATAAAACCCAACCCACTCTCTCCCTTGCTTTTGTACATTGTTGACGCTGTTGAGGGAGACCAGGACTGTATGGTGTGAGATGGTGCGGTTCTTCCTCTTCTGTAGTTAGAGGTGTGTCCAGGCTTATGTAGAGATGCAAGTTGGTTTCATTTTGGTGTGTAAATTTGAATGAAGACAGACAGGGACTGTCTGTATGACATGAATAAAGGAGTACACCATGAGACATCTTGTCTGTTGTTTAGAGCAGGTGGGTCAGGGGATCGGAGTTCATGATAAGAACACTTCTACTGATTAACTGATGGTTAGAATTAGTCTTCAGCAACCCATGCTTGTTCTAAAAGGCAACTAACAGGGTCGGGTGGTTAGGCTGTCTGCCTTGGTTAATTGTACCCCAATTGCCAAAGTCGATGCTCATGCTGTTGATCACTGGATTGTCTGGTCCAGACTCGATTATTTACAGACTGCCGCCATATAGCTGGAATATTGCTGAGTGCGGCGTTAAACAGCAAAGTATACTTGTAGTGTATAATGCGAGTGGGGCGGTGGGGTAGCCTAATGGTTAAAGCGTTGGCTCGTCACGCCGAAGACCCGGGTTCGAATCCCCACATGGGCACAATGTGTGAAGCCCATTTCTGGTGTCCCCCGCCGTGATGTTGCTGGAATATTGCTAAAAGCGGGGTAAAACCAAACTCAAGTCAGTCAGTATAATGCGAGTTGTGGGGTAACAAAGCTCCACATTAATTGTGAAACATGCATCAGTACTGCCAAATTAGTTTGCGTTCCTTGCATAAAATGAGTCACAGTCGTCTAAGGTGCCCGATGAAGCTCATTCCTTGTGTCCCCCGCCGTGATATCTCTGGAATATTGCTAACCGCCTCGGTGGTGTAGTGGTTAGAGCGTCCGCCCGGAGAGCGGAGGGTCGCGGGTTCGATCCCCGACCGCGTCATACCAAAAGACGTTAACATATGGTACTTGTTGGTCCCTGCCTGGCGCTCGGCATTAATGGGTACAACAAGGACTGGTCGGCTCGGAGTCAGTATAATGTGTCTGAGTGGGGTATTCATGCTTCACTGCGGCATGGTATCTCATCGGGCGAGCACTATAAAACCAGCTTCAGTCTGGGCTAGTACAAGCAGCCGCACATACACACGCATGGACGTCGTCATATGAGCGAAATATTCTCAAGCACGACGTTAAACCCAATTTCACCTCACCTCCTTGCATAAAATGAGTCACAGTCGTCTAAGGTGCCCGATGAAGCTTATTTCTGGTGTCCCCCGCCGTGATATCTCTGGAATATTGCTAAAAGCGGCGTAAAACCATATTCACTCGCTCACTAAGGTGCCCGAAGTTGTTCCTAGGAATGCAACCCCTGGACATGCCAGAAACTACGATTGTTTGAATCCCGATTTTGTTTCGATTTTTGTCCGCATTTTACCCATGCTTGTGGGTTTATCTGAAGTAGATAACCCTCTGAGACATGCATATAATCACGAAACTGAAGAAGGCCTTTGTCTGAGCATGTTTGCATTTTACGAATCTTCAATCGGTACCGTTTTCTGACTTCACCACAAGTCAAATTTACAGGGAAGCAGAATTTCATTATTCTTTTATTTTACGTATAATTATGTATATCTTGAAGTATGTCATTTCAGAGACTAAACTTTAATGTTGGACGGAATCGTAGGTTAATCTTCGCAACTCGGATCATCGGATTGTCAGTCCCATGTGAAATAATGTAAGTTTCGAATGTCAATTGCAAATTCCAACATTAATTCACGAGGGACATAAAATCCGTAAACCCGTGTTGAGAGTAGGTTATACTTCACACAGTCTTTTTGTCTGGGAAAATGTACTTTCTGGGTTTCCTAACCTGAAATAAAAAGACATTTGCTCTGTTACTATTCTGGAACGACGTCACGTGAAATCCTCATGACGTCATCTTCAAATATTGACCGTAGCGGTGACCTCGCCTGGAAAAACATTACCGAGCGAACTGTCGTTCAAGGGAAATGAACGCACATCGTGGAATTTGCTCACGTTAGGCACAGTCTCCATCAGCGGATGATCGTCAACCGAAACAGTTTCAGTCCATAATTATATTCGGGCCCATGAGTCTATTCTGACAAACGGGTAATTGAATATAGTACAGGGATGATCGAATAAAAACTCCATACATTTCCATTTTTTCCCCATTACATACACGGTTAGCCAGGTCTTAGAACTTTCGAAATATCTTTCGTTGTTAAGTTTTATTTTTATCAATAATTTCCTGATAAAATTATTGACAATAATTCGCCTATTTCTGTTCCCTTCTGATTCGAAAAATTTAAATAAAATTTAAATGCAACACGACCATGGAGGCGAATCAGCTACAATAAATTATGCATCTGATAACATCTCCCATGCTGTGTAATAGAAAACCGGTTTATATTACTTCATCTGCATGTTGCCAATCAGTATATTTATTAAACATCTGGATATAATGATAACAATAATATATTACTAACATTCCTTTATTCACACTATACTCAACCAATTAGAGGTTTGTAGAAAATCAAATATGCAGACACTACACTATTTATATTTACCGATAATTGAACCATATACTAGTACTACTACATCGTGAATATGAAGAAGCTTTGTCATCTAATAACCTTCATTGTTCCCAGTTTAATCAGTTTGAAGATCGGTGCATTCGAGTCAAACATATTCTTTGCATTTTGTCCAAACAAATAAAAATCTATTTTGGGATCGAAACACAACAGCGTGGCGACCGCTTCTTGCCAGTTTCAACCAGTTGATTTTAAAAAGAGCGCTCCGAAAACACAGGTCAAGGTCAAATCGGCCCAAAACAAAGAAGTACGGCTTGTTTTGAATATGCACTGCCGCATTAGTCGACAGATCCGAGTGGCAAAGACAAATACACTTTTGCAAGCAATACAACCCTCCATTTTAGGAACTACATTTTAGAGTAGTACTTATGACGAATCATTATTTTTTATAGAGATCACAATGAACTTTCAGTTTATGATGTATTTTATTATTTATTTTATAAGTGACTTGACATATGCCCTGACATTTGAAGATTATTCGTTTGTAATTTGATTCGATTTTAAATTCCGCGTGGGATTTTATATAGAGATACAGTATATATTGTACTTTTAAAGTTCCAGTGGTGTAAGCCGACCAATAGTGTAGAAGGAGGTTGGAGATGTTGATATGGGCTGATGGATGTTCGAGACATATAACATGTCTAGGCTAAGGTTTATACGAGGATAAATAAATAAATAAATGAATAAATAAATGAATAAATAAATGAATAAATAAACAGGAATCGTTACGAGCACTGCAGGATACGTATGTCAGTAACAAATATTCTGTTTGTACAGATACATATACCTATTGTCCTTGATTGATTGATTGATTGATTCCGTACCAGGTGGTGCTTTATATTTTCTGACTTGAACTATACACCTTGTCTTTGACACATAGCTTCAACAACCAACATAGCAAAAGCGTACATAAAGTCACGTTGACCATTAAATATATGTTCAGTCAGACAGGAACACTTGCAGAGCGGAGTGAGTAAATAATTCATTCTGAAACTTTTGGGTTCAATGTGAAATAACTGAAATACATAGTCCAATGTTGACGTTCCCTTCGATGACCAAAAATGCTGGTTTTGACCAAGCTGGTCTGTTTCTCGTAGGGATCATCAATACATTGGTGACCACATTGTACTGTAGTGCATCATGAAGTGATAACATTTCACTTGAATGAAACCAGACCTTGTTGACATGTTTGACATGCCTCTACATGGAAGCAAACGGACATTACACGATGTATTGTAGTTTTACACTAAACCATTGTTAAAATGAACCAGCTTTTTCACTCTAATAAAGCAGGAACACTTAGGAAATTAGCAATATTTTGCAAAATAATGTCTCATTCTAAGAAACGCCCCCCAAAGGTAAACAATAACGCCCGAGTGTAACATTGTTCATATAAGTGGTTAAATGCATGTATAGACCTAGGTTATTCCTGCAACCAAGCGATATGTGTATATATTACCATGGTGTGTGTAAAACATGTATGTAGTAGTGTTGGGAATTGGTTGAAATCTCACAATTGATGATTGGTTCAATACCAACGACCAATCCTCTAAAAAAAATTGGTTAGCGTCATTTTTTAGATTTTCCTATTCAGGCTGTAGTTGCAAATAAGTATAAAGAAAAAAACATTTGGTTCTCTGGTTTTTTTTTAGAAACTGCACAAATTACATTTGCAGATTTCACATCCAGTGTAAAATGATTCAGTTCCAGTGTAACATTAACTTCCCAGATTCTTCAAGAAATATTCAGTCATGACTTTTCAGAAAGTGAAGTGAGTTTTCTTCATTAAACACGTTTTCAGGCCCTGACAACGTCCTAGATATGTTCCATCATCAAGTATTTCAAACTCTATTACAGCGGTTCCAAAATTGTTTGTGTTCGATTATGAGAAAATGTGATCGATTGCTCGGTCGTTTGGCCACTGCGACCAATCTTCGATTATTTCAATTAATCGAAACACCACTAGTATGTAGCATATATAAACTGTACATATTAATGATGGAAACATGTACCTCTAATGCCACAGAAAGCGGTCGGAGTGTAAATAAAGTTTAGTTCAGTCGTTTGATGTAATCTGTCTCAAGGGTACAGCCTATCTCATTTAAGGACAGTGAAGGGATGAAGGGGTGGGGTGTGGGTGTGTGGTATGAAAAATATATAATAGACCCTACGTGACTGTAAAATATACACACACCTCACCCTGTGTGAAAAGTCATATCCAGCTTTTCTTGCATTCACGTGTCCAAAGAACTTCTGTTGTAGTTGTTTTGTTGTTGATTTCAAAACAAAATAATGCCTAAGCAATTGTTTATGTTGGGAAAATATATAACAGCTCCTAAACAATAAACAATATATGCTGATCTCATACCATTGTAATGTATGTTGAAAATTTGCAGATATTTCCATACATATCGTCACCTTCTTGTTTCATGAATGGTTGCTATAAATAATCAACCATGACGTCACGTACGCTAATGTACATAAACTTCCAAATATTTGACAGATGAAAACAATGTAGATAACGAAAAGAAATATGTCAATGTACTACAGACCTGCATTAAGCCTCACATTGCTACAATATTCAAATCAGAACAATCTTGACTATC